CATGCCAGTAATGCTTCACGTAAAAAACGTGGGTCCAAAAAATAGCATGAAATATTTAATTCCGTTTTTACCGAATATCCAAAGTTTAAGGGCACGTATTAACTAAAGAAGCTGGCTCAAAGATACAAATTTAGTGACCCTGATGGTGAAGCAATAAAACTATCCGAGATTCTAACGTGAACGTAAATGGCTGACGTGTCGCGAACGTAGCCGTGTATGATATATCCGCTCTGTATAATTTTGGCTTTGATTAGTTCTCGTGGGATTCACTGGGTTTTGAAGACAAGTCGCTGTGGCGAAAAATTCCCGCTTGCAAAAAAATCATCTTTAAGCGTTAGAACTGAAAAAAAAAAATAAAAAGCTAATTTGAGCGGTATAACGGATGATCTTACCGAGTTGGGTGCGTTTGTCGGATACAAAGGTACCACGGAAATACATGTCGTCAACTTCAAAATAGCTGGTTTATTAACACTTCATGTGGGTGCAGTTCACACGTATGTCAACCGGTGCAACTAGTCCATAGTGTGAAAATGGGTTTAACCAAATAAATGTGCCCATATGTGATTTCCCACTCCTTGTTAATTCCCGTGCAGGTACGTGTAAGTACGTGTTCAGACAGTTCGCTAGTCTTATATTAGCTGAGCGTTTTTGACGGAACCAAAAATTCCTCTAGAGGGGATGATTGACTTGAAATAGAACTGTTTTTCATATTTAAACCATAAACGGTCATTAAATCATAAACGGTCCTGGTGGGCGAATGATTTTTCGAAATTAAATACAACTGGGTGCGGATGACCGAACGCTTCTACGAGAATAGTCGGCTTCACCATTGGATTTTGTCGATCAATACAGAGTTCAAGGTGGTGATGGACACTCGGTCCTAGTGCTACTAAATATTCAAAGGCCATTGGTGATAAAGTTGTAATGCTACATCGATGACGGAAACGAATGCCAGCATATTGTTTGAGAAAAACGTAATCTCGAAAAAAAAAATACTACCTTAAGTAGCCGTAACTTGCGTAGCAATATCTGGAACAAGAAAAACATCGTGTGAAATGGTTTGTGCAGTTGCAATAAGATTCATTATGTCTCATTGTGTCGTGCTGAGTATACTTCAAAGTGTGTCGTTTGTATTTCTCAGCTATGTGTCAGGTAGCCGATGACCCCGCTGTTCGCGGACGAAGATTTCAAATACATTTGTAGATAAATGGAACTCGCAAGGTGATGCAGACACTAACAAGCAAAACGATGTACTGCTAACCATAGAAAAGACCTCAATTCAACAGACACACCATTTTTTTTATAGCTACCTTGCAGAACATCAACGCATGATACGGGCTGTGCCATTTACGAGTCGACTGTCGAAAGCTTCACATGAGAGAAACAGACGACACAAAAGCAAAGTTAAGGAAACAATATGTAAGACAGGGGATTGACAAATTTTATAGCCCATAGAAAAATTGTGCGCAAGGAATATAGATGCCATGCAAATGAAAATGGCCAATTTTGTTGTCAGATGCCGATAGCGTTCGTTACAACCAGTGGTTTGCAACATAAAGGTATCATTAACAACTGCTAAACGACAGATGCTTAACTAGCAGTTGGAAACTTAAAAAGCAAAGTTTTCTTTGTCACCCGCTGAGAAACAGGAAGAACTTATGAAAGGCTTGAACAACGGGAAAACCTTTGGCCAAAACAAGCTGATCCTAATATCCTTAAACAAATACATTTTTTTCGATTTATCAACCTTATTTCCTGGTGAAAGTGTTCTTCGCTATAGGCGTTCGTTCCGACACATTCACACAGTCGCGATAATGCTTGCACGCGAAGGCGGCAGCCTTGAAGATATTTCAAAGCGCTAATTTATTTCATTTATGAGCGTCAATAATGAGGTTCTCGAGCACATAATAATAGAACAAATAACACCGCATATGGAAATATTTAGACCTAGTCTGGGACGGCGGTTCGGGTTTAGAAATAGTAGAAGCGTACAAGAAGCAGGACCAGGCTGCTGAGAAAAGTGAAGCTTCAATTGTAGATTTTTGAAATAATTCAGCTACCTTTTATACAGGATACTGAAGGAACGAAGGTTCCAGGTGCAGGCCCGTAAGGTTTCAAATTATATAATAAGAAAACGAAGCGATTGCTTGTGATAAACAGTGGGACTCCAAAGGTGTACCTTATCGATTATAGTGTACTTCACGGGTGTATTTTAATACCAGTAGTAAATAGCGAAATCAAACCATTCACACACACGACTGCACTAAATAAATAGGAAAGAGAGGCAGCCCAATGCCCGACACACTAATACAGATATTGTACCGCCTCGTACATAAAACGAACCTCGTAGTTACTGGGAGTAGCATAGACAACAACTTACTGGGTCTGCCGAAAGCACCAAAATGCACAAAGCTCAATAATGTACTGTAGCAGACAGCAAACGAGGAAAGAAGGGAGTGTGTACTTCGACTAGCGAAGCCATTTATACGTGCCTATGCTGCTAAATGTCACCCCACTTGTTGAAGGATTGTCATGTTTGATACTGTACAACGTACATGCGAACGTTTTGTAGAAAGTTGTTCCAGTGGATGAGAACAAATTTTCTCGGTTAGGTTTTTGAAAGTTCAAAAAAAAAACAAAGAATTCAGAGCAAAATGAAGGAAAAAGAAAAAAGGTCTGATCAAATGGGGACAAAACTGACATTCCGGTTATGCACTAAATTACATTTATAATAGTGTCTATGCCGATCTTTGCTGACCCCCATAGCTTCAAGCGAAGTAAGCAATCCCGCTATGTTAGGAACCCCAAAATAACTGAATATTCGAGTAAGACTGCTATTACTGTAAAGTATTTTATTAAATAAATTTGTTATTAAATTGCTTCACGATTTGTTGGTCGACGTTGATATGATTCTGTCTTTTCAGAGCCATACGTTGCTGCTGTGCAATTTGCGAATTGAATTTCGAAGATCTGCTTGCCTCCTAGGTAGGCAAACTTCGTTGTCAACAAATTTAATGACAAACAGTGCCAAAAAAGATAAAAGGCAATAATCAAGTTTGACGAAATTGTCACAATTTCGAATACATCAATGCTAGCTCCGCTGTGTGCGTAAAAATAATATCATGAGCCTGCGAGTCGGTCTTGGCCAACTTTAGTTATATACAGCATGCACTTAGAAACAGCTTTTGTTGCCCTAGTTGCCCCTATGTTTTGACCATTGCACCGTTGTCTTATATTCTCACATAGGACTAAATGCCGTAAGCTAAGGCGATTTTGCCACTGATTCCAAAACAACACAAGTACCGCGTGCTCAAGTAAGTGCATTTGTTTTTGACGGTAGAGTTGACTTTGAAGTCAGTGCGAAACGAAGAAAAGCGAGGGAGTTATCAATCAATTTTGTCGTTTTCATTCCAAGGTTTATACGAAGAACGAGAGAACACTGCTTTAATCTGGACTAATTTGCCAACTCGACCGGGGTTCGAGATCATTGTCGCCCGGTCCAGTGGAGACTACTAAAATTATTATTAAAATCTAAACCGTTCATGGAACCGTTCTCATTTCTCATTGGAGGCAAGGCACGGCGTCCGGGCGTTGCCTAGATAATAAACATAGATTAAGTCAAATTGACCAAAAAAGGCCCATACTATATATCAAAAGGACACGCCCTGGAATTCCTAGAAAGCCTGAAAATACCTAAGAATTGCACAGTTTCTCGACCGCCATGCAGCCAAGCCATAATTGCTTCTACTTTACCTAAATAGTTAGTTCGACGTGAATTCGACGTTAACGTCGTTTACCTCCAGTAAGGTCAGCCTGAGGCTAGATGCCGACATGAACCCAGTAGTATTGTCCTAGTCACTGTTTGTGACCATCCCATTGTGTTATATGGTTGTGGGATCATTGTGTGTAATCATCTCCTGCGCTTCTTCAGGCCTCTTTTCTTAGAAACAGGCATTGTCGTTTTATCCTGCGCACACTCCGCTAAATCAAAAGGTACGCCACATTTTTCAGCGACTAGATCTGTTTCTAGAGGACATTTCGATCTATGCCCTAGGCCTTTGCTTAATGTTGAAACAAGATTGCTCACGAACGAACATTCGGCTCACTAGGGGATCGTGGTCTCAACTTTGGGCACCCTCATTACCCCTACGGTGTGACTGCATTTTGAAGGACCGTTGATAACATGACTTCCTACTGTTTTGAATAGTCAGTTTTATATAACTCGTAAGTATCCACGTGGTGCTTGATTCAAAGAGAAGCTTCATCTGTAAAGAGATTCGAGAGAAAAGTTGTATCAGTTTCCTATATAAAATAAGACGCTTGATTTAGAAAAGTTTTGAATCGCTCGGCGTTATTAGTAGTCGTTGAATGTTAGATATATTTCTTTATTTTGAAAAACTGGGCTTGAAACTCTTTTCTTCAAAGTCAAGATATAGGACTCAGTTACAAAAGCTTCGAGAGAAGAATCGAGCTATCACTAATTCATTTCCATATAGCATAATAGTCTAGCCACGAGCGTCTTAAGCTAGCCATTAATAGAGGCCTACTAGCTCATCGGCTTCTCGACGCGTGCGTAATTCTCCCATCAAAAAAGTACTCCTCGAACCCTCATTGAACCAGAGATTTTTCCACCAGACAATTAATGCTCAAGGACAACAAGGAAATATATATATATATATAATACATTGATAAGCGACTCAAGCTAGTTAGGTGCCCTTTTAATAATCATGCTACGCCCTGATAAAGTAAAAATGGATATCAACGAAATTTTACATCTCCGTCGACGTTGCCCTATAAGGAGGACATACTGCTCACTTTGTGCCGGTATTTGTACGTCGTCACTACAATAGAGCTTTGCTGAAAATATCATACATTGACAGGCAGTCGTTGGCTAAGGCTGAGACAGCTGTTCACAGTTGATAGTTGGGAAGAATATATTTATATTTATTAGGATAGTTAGATAAACTTCCTTACATTCACATTTATGATTTATTCGCTATATATATATATTTTTTCATTTTAATAATTAATTTTAAGAAGATACATGATGGTAAAATTAAGGGTATTTAAAAAAAAAAAGGTGAATTAAAGATAACTCAGTCTCGAATGGTCCGGAATACCGCGAATCATAGCAGCTTTTCTCAGGAAAGGACCTGATTAAATCTATCACCACGTATCCGGCCGGTAATGAATAAGAACATCCTCTTCCTCTGAGGTCACACGTCAGGACCCTTGTACAACTATAACGTGACATAACACAAAAACGAAAAAAATTTATATTAAATATAGAGCAGTCTAATTACATAGTATAGGGTATAGTTCCTAAGAGACTGGTACATCTGCGAGGTAACACGTGCTCCGTATGGCGTCAACGCTTAGCGATCAGTTGGCAGTAGTACTTTGCATGTCGCTGGAAGTTTTATATTGATATTACAGATTAAATGTGAATTTAAGATGTCACTGCTCGATTGATACGTCACTGAAAAGGCTCCTTGTAACCAAAATAGAGAATCACACAACGATTTGATCAATGTATCCGCGAGGTGGGGGAAGGAATAACATAAACTGGATAGTCATTTTTTTAGAGAAAAGTTACACTCACGGAACTAAAATTGCTTGCCCGTGTTGGGTTCATCAGCAGACCATTTTCTTGCTGAGTGAGTGGAAAGGAAAGATAACTTCTGCTGATAATATCTTCGCGGCCTTTGCATCGTCCCTGTAGCCCTCGATCAAAGCGCTGTGCTCTGCCACAGACCTACCTTAACGCAGAGTAATTTTTACATTCGTATAGTTAATAATAAAAAACATACTATCACAGTCGCCAATTCTTGATCACATTATTAGGATATGTGTAGTGAATTGGGGCTTTCGCCTGCTATTGAGTGTGACAATGAACCACTCATCATTCGACCGTGCTTACATTATACATCTTAAGGAACCGAAGCGAAATAGAATCAGCGCATCTGTCTTGCGGCATGGACATTATTTGACTACAGAACTTAGCTAAAACTGGTATTAGGCGTGAACATCAGCAACGTTAAGAAACACTCTACAACCATACTTTCTTTTCTATTATTATTCAAAGAATATAGTGTCATATGGTACAAAGAATTTATGGTCTATATCTGTTCGTAGAACGGACGGACTATTTTTTGTAAATTTAATCTAGCAGATCAACTTCAAGTGTTAGAATCATTAACAGGAACACTACTCCAAAATAGGAAATAGAGTAGGCAGAAAAGGCCAAACCGTCTAAATGTCTGATGTAAAATGCGAGCTGAGGCACTAAACGTCAGTGATCTTCCAGAATCCGAGTGCCTAAAATACTGAAATAAATATAAGTTTATAATTAAATAAAGCGGTGAAGCATACGTGCAGTCTGTTCATCGTACTCAGGATCTCGTCAATAAAATATGAGAACCTAAACACTAAATGTGCAAGGAACAAAACAGCTTAATTTATACAGGCGTAAGTTAATGAGATTTACAACCCGGTACGAGGCGTAATAAGATATATATAAGCGGCAAGCGATGCCTTCCACTTGCGGGCCTATGGAAGAAGTAGGCCGTGACCCCCATATTCGGTGGAGCCAGCCTTCAGCCACTGACAAGAAGCACAAATTCGAAAAATTAGAACTTTAAGGATGTGTTTTGTGCTTCAGCTACCAGTGGCGTGGGAAACTGTTTACTGAGGAAGTGTACGTCGAAAAAATAACACGTAGTATTCGGTAAATAATAGTACTGATGGACTAATTTGGAATGCCTTCAAAGAAAGTTTCAAAGCTTTCTCTCTAAGCGACGCTTGTTACAACACTGCTGAACTTATTCCAGAGCGTAAGTCATAAGATTTTCCTTGGAACCTTGTGTAGTGCTTTAAAGGAACGACATGAGCTAGATTAATTATCAGGATTCATCTCTTTAGTATTCACACGCAAACATAATGAACAGCAACACCCATCAGTAAGTAATTGCGTCGGATTTCGCTCTAAGTCAGAGGGTATATAGTTCATCCAGCCTATCAAAAAAATATTTAAATAAATAGTAGCTGCAAAAGGTTATATAAATTGCAGGTTAGGCGAAACTGCTAACGGCGAAGTATTTGTAACTGGAATAAATTCTCTGGATTTAAAGGTATGGATTCGAACGACGGGCAGCCAGCCAGACCCCAGCAAAGGAGGGCGCTACGATTGGGTAGTCAACGCGCATCTCTGAGCACTTTGTCATGACAACCATAAAAATACAGCTACCGCTGGTCAAAACTTCAGCATTGGCCATAGACCATGCCGTTTCAGAGATAAGCTAGAAAAAAAAACCTAGGCACGTCCAACAAAACTCATAGCTGATGGAAAGAAACAGTGGATATAGTGCATCATATTGAAGTTGACACTTCGCAATGTAAACCTCGCCTTCGCAGATTTTGGCTGGGAACTGAAGCGCCTAGTTATGCCATCGGCTCTCCTTTGAACAACCACTTACAAATCACGGTTCGGGTCAGAGTGATTCAATACACACAGAACGAAGATTGAAGGTCAAGAAAAGAACTCAAGCAAAAAGACCATTTGCTCCGATTAGTTAGAAAAGGAAGTAACACTTTAGTTTTTCTTTCGTTCGTGAAGGCTCTACACCTCTGCGCTTGTCCTATGTAAATGGTGCCCCTCCATATAGGCTCTACCTTTTTATGAACTGCGAAACTACACGAACATAAAGCTATAAGAAATCAGAATCTCTAGTAAAGGTATATTACAAATTAGGCTGATCTCATTTACTCGTTAACCAGAAGTTATTTCATCATAATAAATCAAGCGAAAATTAATTGCCGATTGTTGCTATGTGGAAACGAAATCAAGAAACTGTTAGGCATAGACGTTAATTCCATTTGCATCCTAAAAGCTCGTCCTAAAGGTTCGCGTTAATGTGCCCATTTTACGATTGGAGCATTAAAAATCGGAATGAAACGGCGATCTGTAAGTAAGTTTACGAAATAGAAAGAAGTATTGAGTCAACTTTTTTGAAACTTAATAAGTTTCGATAAGAACAGGCTTGTTGTCGGCCGGCGAACACGCACCGTTTTAAGTATTTTGCAATGCCTCCTCATAACCAGAGGCATCATTGTATTAGAATGTATACGTTTCTATCCGTGAGGTGATTTATGTCGAAATAAATGTGACCCTCTATTCGCTAGCGTGCCCATGCGACTATTCTAAGCTCATGAGACTTTCCTTGATTTAGCAGACACGTACGTCCAATTGACGCCTACGTTCTAATAAAAGATGAAGATCGTGATACTAGCGGTAAGTGGTAGTCGAGACATTTCAGCGTATCCTAGTCTATTTCTCAAATTAACATAATCCAATTCGAGAGTCCTCGATGCCTGCACGGGTGTAATCAATCCAAGTAATTCACGCACTCGATTCGCCCCGCAGTTAGATAGCAGGCAGTTCAAAGACTACACCTGCGGATTGTTATATGCTCTTTTCGTATACGGTCTACGATATGGTATCTTCCTGTTCATATGGTAAGAAGTTTGCCGTGTCAGCTTTAGTTACTAGGACTAGCTTTGTTCCGACCTTTTTTTTTCTCACCGTTGAAGGCTCCTAACTAATTCTCGGAAAATAGAACGGATGGGCTATTTTAACACGGTATTGTATCGTACCGTATTACTCGGAGGATTTCCGTAAAGGTCAGAACGAGGTGATCATTATTAGCTGTAAATATCTGAGTTATATAGTTCATCTATATTAATTACGTTTCATATCTAATGAAGCCGGAATGGACTGTTCTTCCAGTGTGTGTGGCAATGAGCTGCTTTTTATATCTATGTTATTCTTATTTGTTTACGACGCTGTTGGTGAAACTGGGTTTGGCAGTTTGCAATAAACTTGCTGAAGTTCGCTATCTCAGGTTTTGAAGTTACGAAAAGCATTGTCTATTTGGATATTGGGAGCCATCAGAAGGATTTAAGGTCAACATAATTAATTGCGAAACAATTAATGCATGTTAAATGTACCAAGGATTTTAGTTGTAAGCGAGGGAGCCCTCACTTAAATTGTAATTGATTAAGCTTTTAATTTAACTTAGAATTTAACTTGACACAGATCACTTAGAGAAACGAGAGGAAGGTGATAATATTTAACTAATAATCGTTCAGTGTTTTAAGTTTAAACAATTAGTTATTAAAGCAGTCAGAGGATATCAAACTTTTTTAAACAGTTCGAACTCGCAAACGAACCGCGTTGCCAATCAAATCATAAATTCAATGGCATATATCTTTCAATTAAAGTTAAGTATAAAGTTCCCCTTAGATACTTACAAGGTGTTACGCCTTATCGGAATTGCGACATCATTTGCAGTTAACAAGCACCCTTTCTATTAATCGAGATACAGCACATTTTTCAACCCTAACTTTAATAAATGTAAGTGAGCAGAAACGCGATCTGGACTTGTAGACTTCTTTCACGCCTTCCTTAGTCGCAAATTGCTTGCCTATATTAGTTCTACCTGATTTTGTTAGGTTTTATGACTCAAATTCCGTGAGAAGCACGATCATTCAAGGTTGAATAACGGGTTCTCTTGTAAAGCTTTAACCCCACTTTTTCCATACATGTTTTACCTGTATCGTACGAACACGAAACGCACCTAGATCGTAAAACTCTGGACAAAGTAATCAGTCTACGTGCGGAAACTCCCCAGACTCTCCTCGAATCTCCATCTGGATAACTCTGCTTCGGGAGGAATCATACTGATCCGATAAGCGGATGATATCAATAAAGAATGTACTCACCTGTAAAGGTCTAACGAAGTAAATTCTTCAAGTTTTAGTGGCTCTGTATTGCGAAAATATCCTACAAACAGTTCACGTTTCGAAAAAGGTACCAGATAACACGCTCGCAAATGGAATGACAGTGGATTAGGTTCTGTTACTCGGAAAGATAAATTTTACTTTGAATACGAGGCAGATCTTGTTGCAACAGTTTCACGTGTGTAATACACACGACACGTACACGAACGGCAGTAGGTATGTTCTGCACGTGAGCTCCTAGCACGTAGATGTAAGTTAACAGTATGTAGTATATAAAATTATTCGAAGCGGAAACACTCGTTTCGATTAACGCGGTAGGATACTAATGTGCCCGTCCGGCAAGTCACAGTTATGATGCGAGTACGGTATTTATCATCCTGTAGTGCAGTATCCAATATACAGTCTCGACAGAGGCTTAGAGAAACGCTATGGCTGCCTCGTGATTGATTTCAAGCAGCAAATTCCAATGGCTTCAATTAATGGGAAAGATGTACACAAGTAAAGGCAAGCGTCTATGGAACGGGAAATCACGCCTGTTGCATACGGCATATTTAGGCGGTTGCCTATATAATCCAAGCTGATAAGATTTGAATGCGTTTAGAACTGTGGACAGCCTGCAGATCGATGATCGGTAGTCATTGTTTTGAGTGGGGTTTCCCATTTATGATGGAAGTGAGTAGATCGTGCTAGTTGTTGCTGGCTATCAAACCACCTCGTGACATTTCTATTTGGACACGCTTGGGACGCTACCACAGTGACCGCAGCAGTGATAACGTTCGGATTAAATCGGAATTTGATGGCTAACTGTTTTTTCTATAAACCCACGCAAAGCAAATGACATTTCTAAAACTCTATAGACGCTACGATCGCTACGATCATTGAAGGCGTTACTTTATAGTTTAAAAAAGCTAAATGAACGAACGAAACGCTAAATGGACGAGATATTCAATTGATTCCCACTATGCAGCACTGAGCACAGGTTCACAGCGAAACTTTTTCGAGACTATCTCCGTTCTTTTGGTGTCCCAACTTTGCGGGTGACATTATTTTCTGGACGCAAAGACCAGACTTACTCTGTTTAAGCAGGCATAGTCAAGACGGAAGTCCGTCTCGTAGTGTTTAGGAATAAAGGTTCCCAAGAGGCTGGTCTAATTACGAGAAAAATCGACCGATCAGATTATTGCACTATGCCAGTACGCCACAAGGAGAAATAGATTAACTGTTATTACAGCATCTGGAGGCATGAAAGCCCTAACGATTGTATACGTAATGTAAAAAAAATTAGACCTTGCGGCGTAAAACGAAGGCCACGCTAAGAGCAATAACGGATAAATTTTGTTCTGCTGCGGTACAAACTACAGGCTGTCGAGTTTGATGACCATATCACCTTTGGGAACTATTAAGAAACTATAGAGCTCCTATTGAGTGCTTCCTATACAATTCCATCCGACCTTCAACGATCATAGAACTGCTTAGACCCAAAATGTACTCTCAATCAGAAAAGGGGGTGTTCAGCTCGTGAAGAACTGCTTGAACGCAACTAGTAATCAACGAATGGTTTATAAGACATGTGTTCGGGAGTTTCCGAACGAATACCGAAAACACATGTTTATCAGCAAGGATGTAGAAATGAGTGCACATTGGCGATCGTAAGGCCTTTCGGACATGGATACGCTCAAGGATTTCCACGTTCTACGTTTCAATAGCCTTGTCAACTCAGGACCACTTCTTAAATACACACGACGGATAGGTGTAGATTTCAATGTCGCCATTTTTCGAGCGGTAAGACTGCTGTAAGCTCAATACGATTTTGAATTTATGCTGTTTGCTAGTAAGTAACAGTATATTTGTTGTATCATGTTTGAAATATGCCAAACTTGATGCTTGAATGGCTACGAGCGGCCCATTTTTGTGATGCTTGCCCCGAACGCTGCCCGTGGCAAGCGTGAAATATGACAAGTTGGTCTTCAAATGTAACTCATACCCCCTAAGATGTGAAAACAAGCAATGCTAAGCGTTAGTTCGTATCTGGGCATAGATACCTTACTAATATAAATATTGTATCTATGTATTTACACATACGCTCTCGAAATATCAGAATTTAGGTAGCAGGTTTTAAGTCCCATCTAGTTTGGTTTAGAGGGCTGACACTGCAACATGTGTATATCGTGCCGAACGCAACATAATGAACCCTAGCTTATTGAACTCTTCTACAAGCGTAGTTCTTCTACGTTTAATCGTAGTCTACCATGATTATCTATGACCCATTTGACGAAATTTCTGTTTATGCTGCTGCTGTGTGAAGCACGAGAATCTATAGGTCTACTTCGACATTACATTGAACACTGAGCAATTTTTCACTACGAAAATTTACTGAAATTTTGTAAACTTGGTAATTTCTGAGAGCAATTTCCGGCGAATATGGTCAATGACAGAGTGGTTCTAACAATGGGTTATGCATTTTTGCAATATGAACTTAAGTGGTGTCGTGCAATAAAAGCACGTTAGCTCTATTCACTGTCACCAAATGCGGAGTTCGCTCGTCGTCTTCTCCAGTCGTGCACTTCAGGACCCGTAAGGCTGTAGTAAATAACAGCTGTATTAGACAGACAAACATATACTACAAGGCAGCGGTAAATTTCCTTTGGGGTAGCGTCCTATCGGTAGTGATGTGACTGTCTGCGGTTATCGTAGAAGGTGGATCTTCTTTAGAATTTAGGTGCAACTATGGCCATTGTCGTAACGTGTAATCTTACGATCTTCAATTGAATTACGCGCCACCAACCTATTAGAGCTCATGTGGTCCTGTTTAGTAGGTCAGTAGTTTGATCGACGCGAGTATATCTGAGCATTAATATACGTCGAATCTCGACACTGGTATTAGCGTATGCAAACATTCCGTTATTCAACTTATCGTAGGTAATTAATCATTTTCAAGTTGAAGAAGCCACTCGAATTTTTTCAACAGCTCAACTTCGAAAGAGTATTTTGAACAAAAAAAAAAAGTCCAAAACGTGTGTTATCGCTGACCGCACTTGAAAGCAGTAAAATCCCAGGATATGAGCATAATATATGTAAATTGATGAAAGTTGCAATGTTTCAGCCGATTCCAACCCCCATCAGACGGGACAGATAATGGCGTCCCCGCCAACGAAAGGTTTAAAAATAGCACGCATCCGTAGAAATTTCATGATGACTGCGGTGTACCATTCGGATGACGGAAGAACGTCACATTCGCCAGAAATGTGTGACACCATGCAAAACGTGTGCACATACACGGGATACATGCATGAGTTGTTTATACAATGCTAAACTGTTTATTTTACTTTTGTCAGATGTTACGAGAGAAAAAAATTAAAGGGGAATGACAATTATCGGACCGTTAATATTGTCGCTAGACATGAAATCTAGGTCGGATTCTTACATAGAATTTTTTATTTCCAGAAGGCCACAGTGATCCTGGCTGCTGTCCAGGACAAACTAGCTGTGCGCAACACATCGCTGCCTGGACGGATTCCTGGAAAGAAGAAGGTCTTTACTCACAGTTTATCCGTCTCCCTTAAATCTCTTTTAAATGTCCGTTTTCACACAATTTAACAGAGATTTATGCGACATCGAGTAAATCCACCTATAACTGAAATCAAGAGGCACATAATAGTAAACATTAGAAACGGTTGTAATAATCGTTATACATATGTTGAGGATTTAACCATCAGTCTGATGCGAAGCTATTAGCTGTTGTCCTGAAACGAAGGCCGATATCAGTTGAACAACTCGGATAATTGTATGGCTATATGAGATCACTGAAAGTGACGGAGCCTCTAGCACGTTTAATTAGAAGGATCGTCACTTAAATGAAACGCTGGAAAGATTATTTTGTCATAGAGGTTAATTTTGCCTGCAGAATGACTTCAAATTAAATAAATTCAAAATAGGAGCTTAACAGACTGTGTTTCCTTAGTCAGCACACATTTGAAAATGTAAATGAGGTCCCTGTATCTTCTAAAGTCTAAAGAAGAGCTTATTGTTTAAAAATAACGCTTTGTTTGAACTTCATGATAACATTAGGCTTCTATCACTATTGTAAATACAAGATTAATAGCTCGCAGCTTTCGTCTTAGCGTTCAAGAAGCTTTAAAACGGGAAACTATGACGAATTCCAGACGTACTAACGGTCTACCGATTAAATACAGCATCTGTTTTTTGTTTAATACGGCATTTGGTTTTTGGTTAAAAAAGGGAAGTTTTATTTAATCAACTATTGTACAAAGTTCATTCACTCGATCACAATAATTTATTCGTCTATTATCACTAATTGTTTACACTAGTTTGATCCAAGGCAAAGGAAAACGTAACCATTTTTTTTGTAATCAAGAGAAAGCAGTTACATCGACCGGCTCAGTAACTTCTCTATGTTGAGTTTTTACATTCAGTCGGATGGTTGGCTTCTAGCACGACAAACAAACTGTGCCTATGCTTGGATTCGAACCTAGACATTCAAAATTGAGATGCACGTGCATTGCCCTCTAAGCTATCACGGATATCGGCTTCATCGTATGAATCTTCCTCGAGAAAGCAATCATTTTTAGGGACTTCACAAAACTTACCAATGTCACCACCTTCCAGTTTGGCAAACTTATGTACCGCCTGTCCACAGGCATCGTTTTATTGCCACTATTTTTTTCCCTTTCCTGACACAATGCTGCTATGCTTTCTGTAAGAATAAATCTTCAGAGTCGCTCCTTCGGCATTGAAGGTCTGGTCGCAATTAATCTTGCTAAACTTACCTCAATTTTATTTAACAAACATGTAGGACTGCATGACAACCATACAAGCCATTATGAGCTTATTTTTCTCGTTTGTATTAACAATTCCTGAAAATAAGCAAGCAGGCAGCTACGCTGCTAAATCTCAACGTTGGCAAAAAAAACACCGGGTATAATACTGGAAATTATCAATACGGTATCTTGTTTTGTGAGAAAGATCCGCCGCTGCGGAATAGCCCTCGTTGATAGTAGAAATAACATCGGAAGTGAGATGGCGAAACTAGGGAAAGTCGTTTACTCTTCCATTCATCCGATTATCTTCACCACGGCGCTGCGTTATGTAGTGGCACAGGTCGCTTTCTCCTGTGTTCCTGTTACGCCTCTGAAATGGCGCGCTTCGAGAATCTCGAAAGCCGCGAAGGTAACTGTTTTTACATAGTTGGCGATTCTTAGGAGACGTCGAATAAATTATTCTTCAGATGGGCGCTAGAATTCATTTTTATCGACGACAACGCCCAACTATTGTGCCCTATTGTTTAGCGACTGCGGCCTCACCACCGCTTTATAACGTGAAAGGTTGTTACAAATTTTATTGTTTTTTTTTCATTGTGTTGGC